GAGTTATCCTTTATTTATAACTCACATCTGATTCCATATGTGTCTGCCAGGCCCTCTAGCACAAGGTAATGATGAGATTGACAAATTAATTATTGATAGGAAATGTCCTAGAGGCCTCAGAATTTCATAAAAAAAAATCAGGTCAATAGTAAAAGTTTAAAAAAGGATTTTTCCATAGCCTGGTGACAAGCCAAGGAAATTGTAAGGAAATGTCCTACTTGTTCCTTTTATAATAAGACACCATTACCAGCAGGATGTAACCCAAAGGGTACTCAGAGGAATTAAATTTGGTAGATGGATGTGTTTTACTTTACAGAATTTGGAAAATTGAAATATGTACACTATACCTTTGATACTTATTCAGTATTTCAATGCGGAACTGCTTTGAGTTCTGAAAAAGCTGATTCTGTAATCACTCATTTGCTAGAAGTTATGGCCATCATGGGTATACCTTCACAAATTAAAACTGACAATGCTCCAGCATATGTCTTTTTTAAAATGAAACAGTTTTTTGCTAATTACAATATAAAGCATATTACAGGTATACCACATAATCCTACAGGTGAAGCAGTTATAGAAACATCAAACAGTACTCTAAAAGATAAATAAACAGAAAGGGGTAACAAAACCCCTCAGAAATAAACTGCATAGTGCTCTGTTAACTTTGAATTTTCTCAGTGCCAATGAGAAACGAACAATAGCTGCAAAGAGACATTGGATAATAGAAAAAACTACAGAATTAAATCAGCCTACACACTTAGAGATGTGCTGATCTCAGAATGGAAACCAGGATATGTGTTACATTGGGGACAAGGTTTTGTTTTGATTCTACAGGAGAAGATAAGCTCTGGATACTATCAAAATTGATATAGGTTCTATTTGAACAAGAGAGACCTCTTAATTAGAAGAGGTGGTAGTTCATCAACCAGCATGACCATCCAATTTCAACTAACTTATACCAGTCACACATGCCTTTTCATTTAATCAGATATAACTTGCCAAAAAGGAACCTCCTCAAAGTTAGTTTTGGGTAAAGGTTTTTGTTTTTGTCTTTTAAGAGAATGAAGGCTAAGGAATCTGAAGAACATTGGACAAATGAGACAACTGAAGAAAAAGGACAAATCATCTATTCCAGGAAACAGAGTAAAATGGTCTAATGGTATATCATCTATAAAATTTCATAAATATTTGTTTCTGCTCTTCTCTAAAGAAATTTAACACTTTTGATCTGTTCCAAGAAAAAGAGTAGAATGGCCTATTGGTACATCGCCTATAAAATTTTATAAATCTTCCTAAATATTTGTTTCTGCTCTTTTCTAAAGACATTTAACACTATTGGTGTTCTTGCAGTCCCATTTAAATTAAAAATTAAAGCTGCTTTTGGAGTTAGAGAATGGCTCTCTCCTTCATTAAACCCAAGCATGTTGTTAAAAGGAAAATACAAACTCCCTGTATCATGCCAGAAGAAATAAGGGACTATTCTATTATGCCTAATCTCAATTCTTTTGTTCTATTCTGATTCTTTAAACTTTTCTTAAAGTATGAATTTTTAAGTCAAAATTTACTATATATATATATATACATATACATATATACACACACACATATATATGTATATAAATAAACTTTGTTAGTATTAATTGACATATAGACTACTAACTAATTCTAGAAAAAAGGCTTCAATTAGCTGCCTATACATGTCTTTGTGTTTGAGTCTTTATCAGGTTTCTGCAGGAAATCATGGCCAGGCCTAACATCTAATTTGAAGTCTCCAAGAAGAAGATGG